GGTGGCTAGTAGTACTGGTAGTAGTAGTAGTAGTAGTAGTAGTAGTAGCAGCAGTAGCAGTAGCAGTAGCAGTAGCAGTAGCAGTAGCAGTAGCAGCAGCAGGAGGAGGAGGAGGAGGCGGAGGAGGAGTAGTAGTCGTCGTGGCGCCAATTTTCCCTGGAACGCAAGGCCTCAGTGGTCGGCCGGCTTAGCAAGCCTACCGATTGCCGCAGGAAGACGTTGCTCACGCTCGCAGTGTCCGCCCTGCCCATCACTTCTTCGCCATCTCTCCAGCTGGTGGGGGCGGGCATTATAGGGTGAAGAGTGTCGGGGTGTCTTCTGGTTTCTAGGTTTGGTTTGCAAGCTGAGGTCTTGCAGTGCACTTTCGGTTCCCGTTTACAGAGCAACTGCAGACGGTTTGGATTTTGGCTGTTGGGACTTGAGGTTCGTCGAGAAAGGAACACTGCTCCAAACCTGGATGCTTCACATTCCCCAGGTCTGCATCGCAACCATTGTCATGGGGTCTCTCTTTCTGCATGCCGCGCTTCTGAACCTTGCCTGTTCTGGGAGATATGTTTGGCTTTTGTAAAGAATGTAAAGAGGACTCGTCCTTTTGTTTCCTGACGGCTGTGGTTTGGTTCCAGGGGAGTACTACAGAAGCTTGAATATCATTGTGGTATATTGCGGTATTATTAGTATTATAGTATAACCCAAGCCTTATCAAATTATTGAGGCACGTCTACTAGGCCTACCCAGTCTAGGCCTTACAAGACGATGAGCTTCAATCTGACGGAATGCACACTTTTGGCGACGGCGGCACTCATGACAGCTATCGTCACCGGCCTGCGGCTTGCCGGCACGTTGCTTAGCGTCTAGGGTTTAGGATTATGGTCGTTGACGGTCATTGCACATCTGCTCTATTGCTAGGTATTGTTTGTGCCATTTTGTGCCTTTGCGCGTTTGGGGTGCCCTTCTGGTGGCGACGGCAATTCTTGCGGTGGCGGCGGTGGCGTTGGCGGCGGTGGCGGTGGCGGCGGTAATGGTGGCGCGGCCATGCTGAAGGAAGGGCTCCGTTCGCAGATTGTTCTTTGTGGGCCGAGGACGGCTTACGACCACTATTGGGGCCGCACAATGCTCGTGGAGTATCTCATGATTTTCTCCGTTGTGGGCATGGCCACTTTGACCTGCCCCCCGTCTCAATACCTTAGACATCCGAACCGCCCTGCCACTTCAAAGACAGCATTCGGACGTGACAGGACGCCGTAAAGCGTGCATGAACAGTTTTTGCTCATGCAATAAGAGGACTTGGCTGTTCACAATAACGCGCTGCTTGAGACCTTGTCTCGTGTGAAAGCAGAACTGAGCACCACGCGACATCAGAGCATGGGACCAAGGGTGGTGCAAAGGCTCAGCTCAGAGCGGCTTTGCCGCAGACAAAGCCCAAATCGTCCCAGGTGCTGCCATGATCTTCCTGATCGTCAAGGAGCGGCAGGGATTTGGTTGAGCTTTCAGCTGTAGGCGGATCAAAAATGCTGAAGGTATAGGGGGGCAACATGCTCCGGCATAGACCGTACAACACGAATTCAAGACGCAGTTGTTTTTGTTCTCATCGGCAGACGACGGTCAAGCTTTCTGGGGTGCATCCTCTTACATGCCGATTTACGCTTTGGTAGACTCTTTGTTCGTGAACAAAGGGGATGGTTGCGGATCAGATACCGCGCATCCAAGAATAGACATCACCCCGAAATTTCCAGTTAAGCTCTACAGTTCAAACCCTATCAGACTCAAGCCCCTTAAACCCGAAATCCCGAACCTAGGAGTCATGTAGAAGAAAATCCCCAACAATCTTTTGCCCTCTAATGCCAGAATCTCGGAACCCCGAAACCCGAACCCCGAAGCCCTAGAACGCCTACAGGAGCTCTTATATGTGCACTTGAGTGCGTTTTTGA